GCAGGCAAAGTTGACCTTAGATAGATTTGGCTATTATTTTTGTCCGTGTTATGGTCCTTCACCTGTTTCTGTTCTTATACATTCCTATCTTTTAAATATTCGGTTCGATCTTTCTGATTAAGGTTAATCAGAAAAGCGCATCGGAATTAGTAAATTCATTAAATGTGCTATTCATTTCTGTTGACGATTGCATGATAAGTTTGGTCTGTTTTATACTTTGACTTGCTCCTTATTATATATTGAGTCTGGTTGATGAACTGAATGTAACGACAGAATACTTGATGTGATTTTAAAAACGAATGACACTTTTTTCCATTCCACAAAATTTCGTTTTTTTGGGGGGATCATGAGATACGCTTGATACCAAAACCAAACTTTTGATCGCAAAACAAAAATAATTTTCCAATTGTGAACTTTCCATTCTTTTGTAGAAACATTTAAGCAACTCATGTAAATGTCAACAAGATGGTTCGATATTCTAGAATATACATTTGAGATGCGTCGGATCAGGGACAGTCTATACTAACGGGACTTGTCACTTATAACAATGTCTATGTGCAGACAGAACTGTGCCGTCGCTGATGTCACGTGACTTCATAGCAAATCATTTCACATTTACGAAGTGTTCTTCATAACTATACGTTCAAGTTTAATGAAGTAACATTTTTATGAAATTTTATACATTTTGTCATTGCAAAATGCTGTTTTTGAAAAGATTTCTCTGATAGATTTTAAAATATAGACCTTTGAACTTTGAGGTATTTTGTTTGTGAATGTCCCTGGTCGGAAAGAAATCGACATTATGCAAATGAATATCAATACATCTGTTAACCTATTTCGGGTTCAAAAAATCTCTACGGAAAGTCTGTAACTGTTTGAAAATTGACTTGTTACAAGAACCCTACAAAACAGACCAAAATTCATCATTTATTTCGTATTTGGATGTTCCAAAATCAATAAAAGTTTTATACATGTACATGTATACGTGTGCTTGCATAAGGTCAATTTGTATCCGTTGCAGCTCAATTTTTATACCAGGATGTCCTTGATAAAGGTAAACCGCTGAAAATAAAGTGCATCAACTAAAGTCCTAAGTATACAACATGTACAATGATAGCATATAGAAGTAGATACAAACGATAACTATCAGAAACGATGTTGTAGGTGATGACATTCGTATGCACCTATAAAAACTAGAATACGAGTTGTCAGTCTTGTGGGATAGCTGACCCTCTTAGTTGTTTACATTATCGTCCTTTTGTTTCTGTTGGAAAGTCTCAATGGCATGCATGCAACATTTTATTCTTCTAATTGTAATTCCAACATTGAGTGCAGTGCCCAAAACAACAGCTAATCAAATGAAGAGAAAAATCGATGATGTGAGCCAAGCGATCTGGTTTGACCACTATAACAGTATACATGTAATTTTTCTTTACGGATGTTTCATTCAAATTAGTTTTAGGAAGTTCTCTCATCATGCATTGAAACGATTACAATTGCGACTTGTTTGCAATCTTAATCTGACAGAATTTTGTTACGTAATGAATCATAATCAACACTGCGTTAATATCTGTTACCTCAGAGATATGCCATGTCTGTATGTAATTTTGAAAGTAAAATACAAATATTGAATTTTAAATGGCACTACTTCAACATGAAAACTGCGCAAAACATTCGGAGTCAATAAACCATGACTGAAGGGGCACATTATCTTCATGGAAATGATTGATTGATTTTGATTTTTGATGTTTTAACGCCACTTTTAAGCACCGCTTTTGGGCTTTTTCGTGGCGGCCAGTTTTTATTGGTGGAGGAAGCCGGAGTGCCCGGAGAAAACCACCGACCTTCGATAGGAAAACTGACAATCCTAGTCAATTAAGATTGGAGTCGAGTGCACCCGCACGAGCGGGGTTCGAACTCACAACCTCAGTGTTGACTGGCTAGTGATTACAGTAGTAACTACTTAGACCACTCGGCCACCGAGGCCCCTCTTCATGGAAATGAGATGTACCTATGCTTATACAATTGCATACCTCATTGACTTATCATAAGTGATTCCCATCACACAATCCTAATTACAAACTTTAAAATGTAAATTATACAAATGTTCCAAAGGCATTGAACCTACTGAGGGGGCAGGTAAACAGTGTCCATGGAAACGAAAAGTCCTTATGCTAAAACAACTCAAACTGATTGTCATCGACTTGCCGTCAGAGTTTCCCGTTAAACTGACTTAATCATAAACTTAAACTTGTTGCTGACGCCGCGCTGGAAACAGCACTTTTAAGTCTCACCTTCGCGACTTCGTCGAGGCGATACAAAAACATTATTGGTAACAATTTTACTGCACCAAATGCATATTTCGATTATTAAGTAAGATTTGCATTATTATATAAGCTATTACCTTACATTTCTTTATCGGAGTACAATTCACTTCTATTGCTATGATTCTTACTCTTTTGATTTTACCAACCTCAGTTTTACATCAATTACATATTACAACAACAGCGCAATATGGCGTAGTAAGCTGGAATCACACTTCTAGTAGGAAATATTTATTTTGACAGCATTGACCTAAACGTCTTTAAAATGAACTGGGGAAACAATTAAAGGTTTTAAAATTTAGATTTTTTATGTTGCCTAAATTAAATAATTATAATTTTATAATACTTTTTCCTTTACAGTAAAACCTTATCTAATACATAATCACCAGTCGTTTGACAGTACACATACTATATCGTATGTGATGTTTAAAATTGAAAACATGTATTATAACAACACAAAGACATCTGTAAACCGATATGATGCTGGTAGGGAAAAAAACACTTTCCAATGTTATATACAATATGCATAAATAGTGCAACGTTATACCAGCATAATCATATCGTTTTATCTTTGGGTTTATTTCGTAAAATATCATCCGTAATTGATAATAAGTAGTAATAAAATACTAGCCCTTATAAAATATTTGTAATCATCTGACATATTTCAAATATTTGACCTTATTTGTAAGAACGGAATGCCTACATAATCAATGTCTTCTTTTTCTTAACTGCTTCAACTTCCTAACGCAATTTTGAAAATATTCTTGTTCAAGATATCTATTCTAGAGATTCTAGAGGAACAAAATAAGTGCAACCACATAACGAGAGTTTATGGAAAATTAATTAAAGGAGACAAAGTATGTTCAAACATATGAAAGGAGTTGGGGTACTAATAATTTTGGGGACAATAAAGGGACAAGAGATTTCCAACAAATCCATGACAAGGCCACACTTAAAAGAATTTAGGTTTGCCCAAACCCTACCCAACATTGAGACAGTGGGTAGGTAGGTAGGCATTTTCTTTCTTTTTTTTGGCAAAGAGAAATTTAAGTATCAGATGTTTATTAGTCTTCATGCCTATCTGAATAAAAAAAAAATATTTTCACATCAGGGCAATAAAAGATTTTGAGTAGGCAGCTATTTTCTGGGTAGGTAGGGTTAGGGCAAACAACCCTATTCTTTTTTATGGCCCAACTAGCCCCATTGTCAAATTACCCCGCCCCACTTTTTCACTAAATCCACCCACTTATGAAAAGAGTAAAATCCCACTGAATAAAGGTCTGCCACATAGCAGAAGATTTGGGTACAGTAAATGATTCAGGTATGATCAAAATGATAGTTGTGGGACAATAAAAGGACAAAGTATGTTCAACGACAGGAGGAGACACAACAAAATGACAATAACATTGACGGTACAAATTTTACTGCAACAGATGAGCATTTAGACAACCAATGTCTCTTCAGTGATGCTTGAGGCCAAAATATTTTGGATTCAAAACATATAGTGTTGAAGAGCTAATAAAACTTAAAATGACTTATGTTTTTAAAAGCCAAACCTGGATGAGGAATCAGAGCTATGCATTGCGGAGATACAATCCTTAATTTAAAGTGATTTCTAAAATTCAAAATGAGTAAATCTAAATAAAACAATATCCGTATTTTCATTCCATTAGCGGAGTACTTGCTACTGGGTTTATGATACCTTCGGAGACTACTAGCACACCAATAGAGATATCAACTCAGTGGTAGTTATAACATTATTAGTGTCAAATGTACCACACCAGATGTATATTTTAATAGTTAATGTCTCATCAGTGGTGATGGAGGCAAGATATTTGAAATCAAAACAAAATGCAATTTCTTAAGAGCAGATAATACCAAAAAAAGAACAAAACTAAAGCCATATTGGACCATGTATGTATAAACACATAGCAGGGGTTTGGGGCACAAGAACAGGACCAACTGTGACCCTCTTCTTGCTGACTTGTTCCTTCATTTATATGAGGCTGAGAGGTGCCACATCATGACATGTGGAGCAGGATCCGCTTACTCTTCCGGAGCACCTGAGATCACCCCGTTTTTGGTGGGGTTCGTGATGCTCAGTCTAGTTTTCTATGTTGAGTTTTGTGTACTATTGTTTGTCTGTTGGTCTTTTTCTTTTTTAGCCATGGCATTGTCAGTTTATTTTCGACTTATGAGTTTGGATGTCCCTCTGTTATCTGTTGCCTCTCTTTCAAATCATATAGCATTCTTTCAGGAAACAATCAAGCAGAAAATGCTACTTACATTCACTTCTTTTTATTATGTATGCATGAAATCATTCCAAATAATTCAGTGTAAAGAGTTATAACTGTGGTTTAAAAGTAGAGAAGTCATACGTCCATTGGAGCATGTAGTAAGAGTAGCATCATATGAATCAGCAATTCAACCAATCAAAAACCGTCACACATTTATGATATCAAGATCTTAATTAAACTTAGTCATTGTTAGTAGCATGTTAAATGGGCAAATAAAATGTGATCATGAGCTGTAATTCAAAAGAAAAGCAGACAATGGATAGACTAGGTGATTAAAAAAACATTTGCTAAGGTTGTAAACTAACAGAATTTTAAATAATGTTCATTGTCTACTTTTCGAATAGATCAGTTTAAATAAAAACAGTTAACAATACAAAAAGAAAATATTGATAATTTTTTATTATTAATCCCTTGTATCTTTATTAAAACATACAATAACATATAGCACTCTAAAAAAAATAAAATAATAATGCACAAACAAAATTTGGCTTAAAAATAAAGTATTAAATTTCAAAATGATTTTAAGTTTTAAACTCATGACATACAAACACAAACAAAGACATATCTTATGAGTAAGTACATTTAGAACTCATAACACTGATATCTTTAGTCAAGGTAAGACCTCCTTGTATTAAATCTTTATAGAACAATCTTATCTTTCTTGCAAGGTCAAGCCACAGTCTAATTTATTTGTACAAAGCAGGATACCCTTTGTAAAACCAAAACCCTAAAAATCTTAAATATATCCCCCCAAAAAATTCAGAACTTAGTTTCTGCATTTCTGTAAAGTCCCAACTTGACTGGTGTCTGAAAAACATGCACCTTCATAAATATCAATTTAAATGTTTTCATAAAAGAATAGATGATATTCAATACTATAGATTTATAACATTTTCCTTCTAGAGGAATTGAAATAAATATATCAACAAACACTCAATTCAGAGTTTTACAATGAAACCTGAGAACAGAGGACACATGACTTATCATGAATCCATCATATACTCACACATCTGGCCTTTATCTTTTTCGTTTTACAGAAAATAAGGATTAGGAATTGACGGACTATCATCATATCAAAAGTATTTCAAATAACTTCAAATTTAAACTTTAATTTCCAAAAGGACTTATTATGTGTATTTTATTATAATTTAGTATTTTATAGGATGTTAGTTCAAAATGTAGTTGCAAGGGAGTGCTTGAACATTATATAATTGCAATGTTTGTTATAGAATATTGACAAAATACATGTTTGACTTGATAACAAACCTACCCAGCAATGAGTAGTAAAATTACATAAATGACATGAAAGAAAACGATATTATTTGTCTTATTTAAATCATATTCACAATTCAGGTTCTTTTGTTTTTCAGCTCTTTAACAGTTTACATTTTTGGCTTTCCAATCATTTAGTACTGGGTTAGCCTGTAAGGAGTTGTTCTGAAAATGTGTGTTGTTCACACAGTAATCATGTCATATGTGTTTTCAGCATTTAAAAACAAATTTGCTTAAAATGATAATCAAATTAAATTCCATATTTCTCTTATATAGAGATATGCAGGACATTTTCACAATCATAACTGAAGCAGATTTTTTATCAAATCATGATAAAAAAAGCAAAAAGGCCCTGGGGAGAACATTGACTTATATACCTTAAAAATCCTTAATGAAATTTTAAAAAATAGTGTTCTTTTTAAATTACAATGGATTACACTGTCAGATTAAGACAAATATTACAAAAATGTATTAGAGAAATGCCCCCCCAACCAATTCATTGCAATAGTCACAAAAGATTGCATCACAACACCAACACACATTACCTTATCTCAGTATGGTGATTTTGTTATTATCTCCCTTCATTGTTTCCATTTACATAGAAACCTGTTTATTTTTTTTAGAATCTAAAGACTGTTGTAAACATTTTAATAAATACTAAATTTTCATGTGTAGTTACACTGAGCAGATTCCAAACTGGCATAAAATTTCGTGTTTCAAGAGTGTTGATTCAGACATATTGTCTCAGAGAAGTAGATTTTACAAGGTGCCTGAAGACTACAAGAGGCGTAAAAAAGATCAAAAGCCTCACAGCTTCCCCAAAAATTGTCAAGGTTAATTGCACATGATGAAAAATTAATCTCACCATTTATGATAGCTTTGGGGAAAATAGTCCCCACGTAGTAGTGTTCACAAGGAATCATTATGCAACAATAAGCATAAAATGGCTGAAGTCTGATACTGCCTACAAAACTGTGGCAAGGGACAATTAATAGTAAATGTATAGAAACAGTGTAATGAAGAGATAAAGATTATATTAACATGTTCTGTTATACATAAGTAAATCTCTGTAATAATGGAAATAATATACAAATACAAATAAATTAATTTGTTTTTTATCATTTGTTTTGCAATATCATTATAAAAAATTTTCACTTTCATATCATGAGAAAAATCCATCCATATTTTTCCACCTGGGTTTTTATAACCTGCAAGTTGTTTTAGTATCGAGTTGGTTTCACTGATCTTTCTGTAGCAAAGTCATACTCATACTGCAATTAAAAACAATACAGCTTATAGATTAATAACATAAAATAGGAAAAAGGGTATATTTTTCAATTACCAATTATCTGCATTGTGTGAATATGATTTATACTATCATCTTTAACAGGTCAACAGTATAAAAAACATTATTATTATATATTTATTTTGCAATTGCGAGTACATACTACTAAACGCAAAATAATTGATATTTTTCATCTGAATTTACATTCATAAAAGTTTTTTTGTGTTTGTTGTATTTAATTTTTTGTTGTTGCTTTTTTGTTTTATAATTTGGGTGAAGTTAGTTTATTCTATGCATGTCTGAATTATTTGTTTAAAGTAAAAAGGCTACATATGGCCAATAATGGGCAGGTGCCCAAACAATATGGCATCATCCAGCTTTATTTCATGAACCATTGAATATAAATTGTCAGAATCATGAAATTATTATATTGTTTAACTAAATCACAACCTACCTGTCTTTCTAAATCTCCAAGTGTTTTATTATATATCTCTGGTATTGTTATCTGAAAAAATAAAACATAAAAATGGATTTATTGATTGCAGTGGTAGTGTAATGATCTATGGTAGATTATATCAGAAATAGTGTTGCATACTTGGAAACCTATTGTTCTAAATGTTTCAGATGAGAGATAAGTCAGATCAATGAAAGCTAAATACTTTAACTATTCTATTAAAAGCACTCATATCTTAATAATAACAACAGTATCAACTTAGAGCTCACACTTATTCAGCATAATAGGGACTATTATGCATCGTACAGGGACAAGTGGAGAGCATTTTGAGAGAAGTGCTCAATAGCTTGTAGTACTAATATGTTTGCTTGTTACAATTTTTTTTTGCTATTTATAACCTCCTTTTTGTTGCTTACTGTTATGTTATATCTTATAACCCTTTTTAGCATGTTAACTTATATGTAATTTTTTATGTTTCTTCAATTGTCAAAATATAACAGATTTAAAGAGTTGGTAAAAGGATATAGTTTATATCAACTAAAATTCATTATAAAGGAGTTATAAAGAATTTGTTATGTTTAAAATCAATGAATTATACCATTCAGGTACATTTTTTATATATAAGCTGGCAACTAAAGGATTATAAAAAAAACTAAAGTTAGAGAACGGAAACCAATTTTAGGACGTACGTACAGACGTGCAGACGGACAAGGGTACAACTTTATGCCCCCTCCGATATGGCGGGGGCATAAAAATTCTAAAATGTGTCTCCTTTGCATATTTTTTTCTTTGCACTCATCATTCTGTTAGCAGAGTCATTTATTTATACCACAGTGCAAATGCAGGTACCAGTTATTGCTAGGTCACATACAATGCATCCTAGTCTTTGCAAAGGCGGATAACAGATTTCATTTTACCTAACCTAACAGGTAAACCATCTTTGATGCATGACTTGAAGGGGAAGAGGATGTATACTACAGTGAATATGTCTAACAATAACTAAAGACCATTCTGATCACATTTAGTGAAGTCACACATTTATTTTTGTTGATAATTGGAACTGTTTGATTACTTGCAACAGTTTTTACTTTGTTTCTTAATGAATAAATCCTCCCTTTCCTTAAATTTCTTTACATTCAATCCAAAAATGATACAATCAAACTTACACGCCATGAAGAGGGCGGCTGTTAAAACACCATGACAACTTTATGTTACTTTTGACAGTTTACAAAAGCAAATTGACAGATGGGAAGGCAATTTTTTTTAACTAATCGCCAATTTGAAAAAGCAAGATATATTACTTTTTACAATATTAGATGATATTAAATGTAAAAAAAACCCAACAATTTAATGTTAATATAACAATTAAAATTGAGAATGGAAATGGGGAATTGAATACATTTCCATGAATTTTATATGAATATTAAAGTATAGGCAAGGCATACCACAAATAAAAATGATTTTTTTTTTCATTTTCTTCTCTTCATAATAAAAATGACAAAACAAATAATTCACATCCTTTAAATTACTTGAAAATAAATGGGGAATGTGTCCATGGGACACATATGGACACAGATGATGCCCCCGCTTGCATATAATGTTATAAAGGGACACAACTCAAGAACGGTAAAAGTGACGCTACCCAAATTTGTACTTGATTTGAGTTTTGTGGTAATAAGCATTGTGCATAAGTTTCATAACATTTGGTTGAGGCAAACTTAAGTTAGAGAACGGAAACAAAAAATTCAGCAATTTTTCCATTTGTAAAGGGGCATTACTCTAGAATGGTAAAAGTGACGCCACCAATATTCAAACTTGATCTGTGTTTTGTGGTAATAAGCATTGAATATAAGATTCGTAACATTTGGTTGAGGCAAACTAAAGTAATGAACTGAAACCAATTTTGGGACGTGAAAACGTACGGACGTATAGACGGACAAGGGTAAAACTTAATGCCCCATCCATTACGGCGGGGCCATAAAAAAGAAAAACAAAAAACAAAAATAAACCACACATCTGTTAAAACAAATTAAATTGCAATGTCCAACTGACTACCATATTAACTGCAACTTTCAAACTGCCGTTACATCAACAACATTATTACTTACATCAGCCAATTCAGACAGATCTGTTATTTTAGGGTTGATCTTAAATGGTACTCCTGACATTGCTATAAAAATAAAATTTATTAAAACATACAAACTGTGCAAAGCAAGGCTGGATCAAATATGTAAGCTGAAATTTGGACCAAAACACAATTTTTAAGTTATAACCTTAACTTGAAAAGCTCTTTCAAAATATATGAGTACCATTATGTTAAACATATGTGACGGGGTCCCTGTCCAAAGACAGGAATCTAATCAGAGTTTTTCATTGTCTCTTTATATCTGGTTGTGTTTGTGACTCATATATTTGGTCTTTTTTTGTATGGGGTGGGTTATTTAGAGTTGTGGAACTATCTTGGACAACTTTTGTTTTTGGGTGCCTTCTTATTGATATTTACGCTCAAAGGGTTAGTTCTATCTCCGTATGACTAATATCATTCACAAAAAGCAATTCCTTCTACAAGTTAAACAACAAATATTAGTTCTATTAATGGCAATTTCCAAATAGTAAAATAAAGACCCATCAAAATCTTTTGAAATGTTCTAAACGTAGTGCAATTATTCTAAAGATTTCACAACAAGATTAATGTAATAAAGGATCAAAATACTACAAATTAAGGAACCATGCAAAGAGAGTTATCTCTCTTTAGTACTAAAAATCCTACAAAAACATTTGGATTTCCCTTAAAACCATGAATCAACAAACTACAAGTTCACTTGATTTAAGTATGAATAAGCTTGTCTTCTGTTATAGTGGCTACTGGTAAATACAAATCAAGTCTAAACATTAAAATTCTCTACATGAAATGAGATAAGTTTTAGTACTTTGGATACTTTCAATTTTGATATAAGAAAACAATTTAAAAAATATTTCTGTTTTAACAGTTCAGCATAGTTTATCAGACCTTATTTTGTTGTCTATAAATGTATACTGGCTTGCATGTTTGTTGTTTTTGAAAACAACCACTTCTTTTTTTATAAATATGAAAGAAAAACCCATCATAAATAATTTATGCATTCATTTCAACTATATCATTTAAAGCACAATATAATATAAAATATAAGAAGAATGTGTCTGATGACATAAATGCCCCTGTTCAAGCTTGCTTATAATAAATCAAGTTAGAGTGTGAAAACAGAAAAATTTGCAATTTTCCAAGAAAAAATTTGCAATTTTCTAAATTATAAAGGGCCATAGCTCTAGAACAGTAAGTTGGTTCTTAGCATTGTGTAAGAGTTTATAAAACTTGCATAAGGCAAACCTAAGTTTTAGAGGGCAGAAACGAAACAATTTGCAATTTTCCAAGTAATAAAGGGGCATACATCTAGAACGGTAAGTGACTCAATGCCCAAATTGGAACTCTTTCTGCGAGTTTTTGGTCTTAGCACTACGTATGAGTTTCCTTAAATTTGCATGAGGTTAAGTTAAGTTAGAGTGCTGAACGGAAAGACAGACTTTCAAGGGTAACACTTAATGCTCCTTACGCCAAGCTGACAGGGCATAAAAATTTTCTAACATACGTGTGACAGTTGCAAATCCTAAGTTACTGAAGGCTCTTTCTGGTGGCCCAGTTTTTGTTGATCGTGCAGTACCTGGCAATGCATAAGGTAAACTGGCTGCTATGTTGCTCCTATAAAACAAATAACAGTCTGAATCTGATCAAAATATTGAATTTATAATTCACATAAATTATGCTTCAAAAACAATTAGATTATCTAATCTTAAAGATCTATGAAGAAATTGAACCGAATGAACTCTCCCAAAAACCTTTCCAAAAAACTTGATAAATCCTGCAAATTATTCTTGTCCCTGTTCCAAGTCAGGAGCCACGTAAATGGTTGTCTTGTGTGATATCTTTATGCTTTTTTGTTATTTTCCTAATTTGGTGTTGATGGTAGGTCTTACAATGTTTCTGTTTATTTCATTCACACTTTTAAGACTTGGAATGATTTATAGCTAGATATATTGTATAGACAACTGTCTGTATTGAAGACTTCATGTTGTCCTCTAAGATGTTTTTTTTTATCATTGGGTTGCTGTCTCATTTACATATACCCAACATCTCCTTTAATTCATCCCTATTATTTTTTTCAGTAAATCAGGTTATATTGAGCCTGACTTAATTATTCTGAGCCCACTACTCTTATGAGCTAGTTCTTCTAGCCATAAACCAGGTTTAATCCACCATTTTCTACATAAGGAAATGGCTGTGCCAAGTCAGAAATATGACAGTTGTTTTCCATTCGTCTGATGTGTTGGCGCTTTTGATTTTGCCATTTGTTAAGGGACTTTTCGTTTTGAATTTTCCTTGGAGTTCAGTATTTTTGCTATTTTAAATGTTACAAAATCTAGGACAAGATTTGTGACCTAAACATAGGGAACGAGAATAAGTTACATATTGCAGTAATTTTTTATAAATAGAAGCACAATAGTAATAACTTACATATTTATAGGCGGTGAAGAGCCTTGGACTTCCTGTCTCTGTACAGGGGCTATAATTCTTGACATTTTATAACATAAAGCCATATTGTTTAAATCACTGCAAAACAAAATTGTACTAAAAACATATGGAATATCCTTTTAATTTTCATAACAACTTATCAACTTTAGTTCAAAAAGTAATATGTACTTTCCTAATTCTTTACTTATATGTGGTACAACACACTTATTATGTAGTCTCTAGTATCTACTTATTGATCCATCTTTGTGAGAAATAATGACCGAATTGCAATGAAACATTAAAAGATTGAGGAAAGCCATAGGGCTGTTCCATAAAAATTTGCATTAAAAAAAAGACAGCTTGAATTTGCCACTACAGTTATGTTGTACAGGTTAAAAATATTTGCAGGTCGCTCAATTGCTTTTGTTGGAATTTACTCTATCTTCAAACTACCTTCTCTTGATACCATGTATTTTTTTTTAATGAATCTTCCCTTATGATATATATTGGGTATATACAATGTTTTTTACATCACAAAGAGAAAATCTGTAAGTTATTTTAGAAAGACCAACACAAAAAGATATAATACACTAAAATGACTGATAAAAAAAAAGATCTGTTAAAAAAGTAATGAACTTCTTGAGTATTTTGAGTCACCTAAAATGTACTAACCATACAAGAGTATATCCCTTTGATAGTCTTCTCTGAACTCTTTGACTATTTTGTGTCATCTTAAATGTTCTTACCCCACAAGAGTATATATCCCATTGGAGATTTCCTCTGACCTTTTGACCTGCTTTGAAATATACTTATCCTAGTGGAGTTTTTTGACATACTGTGAAGTATACTAACCCTACAAGAGTATATCCCACTTGAGGTTTTTATTGACTTTTTGACCTACTGTCAAGTATACCTACCCTACAAGAGTATACCCCATTGGAGGTTTTCGTTGGCCTTTTGATAAAAGAATCAATTCTGACACAGCATCAGATGTAAGAGAGGAAGCCATCATTCGGATACATAACGTTTTCTTCTTCACAGCCTTTTCTCCTAAAAGATAAGAAAAAAAGGTTAGGATAATCGGAAAGGTACCAGGAAAGCAGTGAATACAAATACTCTAATATAAAACAGACGGACACAAAATGACTTGAGGTTGACAGAACCAAGAGACTTTGCAGCAAAGTTAAATTTTGCTGTCTCATTCAGAATTAGTTTGATTTCAGTTGGACCTGTGGTTTTTGTAGAAGAGGATTGCAGAAAAATTTCATCAATGACGCCTAATGTTCAATCCTAATTAGCAGAGTGGTTTCAGTAAAAATGTTTGAAAATGTTAAAGTATAGTGGTACAATAGAAAGTATAGGTAATGCTTAAAACACATATATTACTTTATAGGTACAAGGAATTGATAATAAGTACTGACTAGAAGATCAACCTAGCCTTTTGGCTAAGCTTAGACATGTTAGATAAATATCCTTTTAACATTAAAACTCAGTTTAATTGCAATTCAGATCCTGTGTTCATGCTTCTCTTACAAGGAATTGGCTACAATCCATTCTACTTTTATACTTTTTAATCTGGCAATTATTACATCAGCTGATGAAATTTTAGCCTTCAAATTTTTAAAGGTGTGTAACACAACGACAAAACACGAGGATTTCAAAAGATCTCTGAAACAGAAAGTAGAACAAGCGTTGTTAGATCCTTGCAAGAGAAGCTTGGACACAGGATCTGTATTTTAATTAGATCGCTAAAAAACTTTGCCATTGATGTAACTTACTTGTATCTAAAGTATAATCTACACACGTAAAACCAGCAGGCACTGCATCTTTTTCATTAACTACAGCAACATCTACCAGTACATCACGACCCTAAAATAAGTTTAGCCAATCAAAATTAATTATTAGATGCTAAGTCATGTGATATTATCGTAACACAACCCATACATCAATGTCTTAAAATAAAATATATTTAAATAATACAGCTATATGATTTAATTGTAACATCAACCAGTATATCACACTATAGATAATGGTAACAATATACTGTAGGTATGTGGAACTTAAAATATATTTGAAAAAAAAACCAAGTATGCACTTTATTGTTACACAAACAAACACATGGAGCATCCCCCTCCCCACCCCTCTCTTTTTTTTATATTCTTATTTTCATTGTTGTGATCAAGACTGTTTATCAAGTTTTCTTTATTATATATTCTTATTTTCCCTTACTTAATGTGTTATTTCTCTGATAAGTACAATCTTACAAATTACAATAAAAAGCTTCGGCCAAATTTTTTAAAAATTGTATGAAGGTTTGACAAAGTAATTGATGTCTAACAAATTTTAGCACAATACTGCATCAACTTGTTAACTACAAAACAAATTTAAGTCCTTTTTAAAGTATGGAAAAATAAAAAAAAAATATTTTCATTATTTTGCTCAGGATACTGTCCTTAGATTGTACAAAAAAAAACGTCTGTCCAACTTATGTAAAATTCCATGAAGGTTTGACAAAGTTAATGATGACTGAAACACTTTAACCTTTGACAGTATAAATAAAGAAAACTGAAAAAAAGGCAGGTATATGTCCAAATTTAATAATTGTAGCCACCACATCATTGCATTTATTTGTAAATTTTTTACATCATTCATTAGATACATTATCAAGTAGATACGGGACCAAGGCAAATCAAAAAAAGAAACCCTAGAACATAGATTATAATGTGAGACATGAACTTTACCTTTTTCTGGCAGCAATTGTTCAACAGCTGGGCAATTTTAAATCTGACTGAGTTTGGCCGCTAAATAGATATCTAAGCTTTTATCTGAATTCTGAATAGATAAATCTTGGACTGATATAAAAAAGAAGATGTAATATGATTGCCAATGAGACAACTCTTCGATAGAATTGGTTAACAGTCATCATTCCTCCAAAAACTGTTTTTAAAGCATGCATGTATTTCAAAAACTTTCTTTTATAATAAAAGATAGTTATTATCTATTTTTAAGCTATTTACTTACAGAGGATGGAGCACATCTTTCTACACACAAGTACCTAAAGACACGCCTACCAAACAGACCATCTTGCCATAAATCAGCTTCTTGTCTTTTGTCATACGTTCTGTCAATCTACAATGTTGGATTTATTAAGGATAACATAAAATGAAAAAAACATGTCTTTACAGTACTGAGAATTCATTTGTTTTGTGGGTTCAAATTTTCATGAATTGAGGAAAATTTGTTTTTTCATGGATACTTGATATCTTTGTTGTAAATAGTTATGTCTACACACCTAAAAGAAATTTGTATTGCAATGAGGATTTGAGTTTGTGATTCACCTAAACCATGAAAACCTACGAAATCAATACAGTACAGTGAGTACACTGTACACATATTTTATACGTTTTCATATTTCCATGAAAAGAAACATTTTCTCAAACCATAACTTTGAAATAAGAGAGACTAGCTCTCTTGGCTAAATAACTAGCGGATTAAACATCTTAAAAACACAGTGTATTTACAATATTAACCATTAATATTACTATGTTAATTACAGAAAGACATATTACCACTATGAAAGCAGGTGGTACTTTAGTTAGGTCTGTTACCACAGCAACGGATGTTATTGGCCAATCACTATCTGCCATGATTATCTTTATACTCTTACTACAATAAAATAGAATGGAACAGTTATAAAAACAGCTGATCTCCTCATGTTTTATTTACATCCAAATTGAGTTTATGTGCACTCTAAAACTGTTTTCTTCAACTAACTGGTTAGTGTTGTGTTTGTTTGGTTTTAGTTGTTTTGCTACCCTAGGTAGGACCTATGTTACTATCCAAGATGTAATGCATTGAATACATTGTTATTAATTGTATGTATAAATAATATTGTTTCACTGTAAAAATGTAAAGAAATATAAGAGTTATCCTCTTTATAAACATGTAGTACAGGTTAACTGTCACTTATATCTTCTCCCCATTTAATTATGTTTCTGTTCAAATTTTCATCAATCATTTCCAATCAGTATGACAGATGTGTGAAGATGAATAAAAGTAGTTATACATGTATGCTAGTCTTCGTTATGATATAAATGCCTGTTTTGGAGCACTGTGATTAGGCTAATAAAAGAATTTGAATTTGTAATTAACTTTTTACTCAAGTTTTCTGTTTATCATGTTTATGGGGACATAGTGATGTACTTGTTCCTTTTGTTCGTAGATTTGTGTTCCAATGACCCTGGTGCGGTATTCCTGACAAATAAAGATACATATTTTCATCTAGTTGCTTAGTTTCTAAAGTGCTTTCATTTAACATCACTTTTAATATTCTGCAGTACAGTTTTGAACCATAGGAGATTAATTAATATGTGTGCTTATTACAAACTAGTGCTTATTAGTTTTTAGCTTTGCAAATTTATGTTTTAATCGTGCTATTGTTGCTTTGCTAGGCATGTGTATGTATTGATAAACTTATGTCTGTCTTCTTGCATGTTTGTCTGATATTATTTGTTTTGTGTGTACTTTTAGTACATGTCTAAAGAGCTTATGTTAAATACTGTATTATATGTGTTTTAATGACTTGAAATAAATTTCATTTGATTTGAAGATTAAGGTTACTGTGACTCACATCTTAAGCTTTTTCAATTTAGTAAACTCTATGTTTTAGATAAACTTTTCTTAAACTAAGTAATATTCTTGTTTAGTCCAAAGCTGCTCAGCAACATAAAGGTCACTATGACCCACATTTTACTTGTAACTAGTGTTTTGACAAGTATGTATACAAGTATGATTATCTTTGTAAATTGGCATTCACCTTATATTTCAGTACATACTCGAAAAGATGGCAGATCAAATGACTGAATGTAGAGATTTCAGTGATTACATATATGAAAGAGCAGGTACTTGTATAAAATTAATGAGTGGCAAAATATTACCATCTGTGATAAAAAAAAAAATGATTTCTTTCCTTTTTATTTGAGAATAGTTTTCGTTTTATTTTTTGGCAAAACAATTTGAGAGGTTCAACAAACTTGTATATTGTTAAAAACTCAGCACATGTAATTAAGCAGTAAGAATACATAACAATAATCAGTAGGTTATCTGTTTGAAGTTTTCTCAATACTCTATTAATAATGTTTTGATAGGTATTCACTTCAAAAAACGCATAAACTTATATCAATTACAATATTGAATAACCCGTATGTTGTTTTAACAGTATTCAGGTAGTTTTTGTTCTTTTCTATTCAAAAAAAAAAATCAAACAAAGAAGCCATTACGCAAACTGTTGTGTAAAACCCACAGATGGAGACAAAAACCAATTTATTCATTGTAATTCAAATTGGTATTTTTCTGCATTTCCTGTCTACTTAAAATATAAAATGAATAACGTTACCACCAATCATGCCCATGTTTACTAGTAATGACTAATGTGCACACCCCTTGTCATGAAATAGAGGTCCAATAATTCCCCATTGTTTAAAACAATGTTTTGATTGGAACTTACGCGAAACAAATATATGATGTTTACACCTCGAGTGAAAATATTTTAAAATTATGGGGAAAAACAAGAGTCTTCAATAGTTTACTTGTAAAACATAATGTTAATTTTGGGTGCCGAATTAACCAGATCCCGATTTTTCTAGGCGCCGAAGTGACTATAATTCAGTTGAATAACCAAATGCTGAAATGACTTTAAATAGGTGACGATTTGACTTTTTCATTAGTCGTAAAGACTAAAGGACTAACGGTGCCGATTTGACTTGTACCCCAAAAATCAGTCTTAAATTATAAATAATCATTTATACGGAGTTCCTTCTTTGGACCTGGTATAAATATCTACTGTGTAAATATTACGTTTTCATAAAATACATTTTAATTGTATCTTTTGGGATTGTAAATTGTGAAATTACCAAAAGGATTGCAATGTTTACATTTTTCCTGACAAAATTTCAATCGATGTCACAAAAAAACTTTGATTGCTGTATTGCATTACCTTACTTAAAACGTTTGATTGATTAAGACAATGATTGACTTCCTCTTTGGTTGGAGAGGGAAAATCAAATCGCAAATTTAAATATACCTTAGTATTCATATATAATTTGTACAGATATCTTATTTAGGTAAATTTTGTAACTGGAGCATCAACATTCAGGGCAAATTTGAACTCGTTGGGATATATGATTGCACCACTAATTTTCTATTTTACTAAAAGTTATGCTGTGTTTACACTTACAAATACTGAAATAGAAATTTTTTGAGTGAAGTAGCACGAAGATATATTAAAGGTAGAAGTATTTTGTGTTTTAGAACGTTTAAAACTTCAGGAAAGTCAAATGGTGTTATTGTCCATTTAGAATATTCTTGTTCTGACTTCTGTTTGGGACCCTCACTAAACATGCTAAATAATTATTTTCTGTTTAACAGGTTGGGGACAACCCGCCAAATGGGGAACTATTCCCACAAACAACAAAAATGTCATACCACATACTGACATACTAATTAAAAGCAAATCAAATACCAGGTCTAGCCACAAACAAACATACCGACAAATTCGATGCAGCAAAGACAGTTACAAATTTTCATTTTTCTGCCAAACTATAAAAGACTGGAACAAATTACCTGAACCAATAGCCTGCAGCACCACTACTGAGTGCTTCAAGGAGAAACTCACTAGAGAGATGCTCCTTGACACTTACAAACACCTTCATGATTAATATGTATCTTGTTTTTATCTTATACCAAAAATTAAAAATAAAAATTGAAAAATATTACTTGCATATACCATGTATACATTTGTATATATAAAAATTGAAAAACCATTATGAAATCAAAAATATATTTTTAATCATTAACAATATTGTTAAACCAGGCATGCGCCAGAAAGTAATCATCAACCAGTTGATGTTTTTCTGTATATAAAGAAGAAGAAAGAGTAACAAACCCTCATTTGTGTAATAATTTGATGGTGCTAAAAATAAAATTTTCTTAAAATGTTTTTTTTTACTTAAAATGGCAAAAATTCAAAGAAAATGGAACAACTTCTTTCAAAGAACTATATTTTTATTATATGGGTTTTTAAAAAGTTAGAAGCCTTGAAAATTGTCAATTTTTCAAAGTTTTCATAGGCTTGTAACTTCTCAGTAAATCAAGATAGGTCTATTCATCATGTTCATCTTTTGAAAAATTTGCTGCATTTATCATGAATATGTGCCGTTTTAAGAAAAAAGACTCAGTTAAGAAAATTTAGTTTTTTAGCACTGCCAAATGATTACTCAAATGTGGGATTGTTACTCATTTGGGGAATAGTTCCCCATTTGGCTGATTGTCCCCAACCTGTTTAATTTGTGGCAAAAAATTAGTAAATTATCCATGTACATGATGTATGCAACAGTACTTGTATGTAATTATTGTATGGTGGATGTCAATTAATTGGAATACATGTGTTTAAAAATGAAAGATTTTTTTTTATTAGATAACCTATCAATCCACACCTTTTCTCTTCTTTAGCTATACACTATACCATCTAGTAGACTGATTTTTTATTACTGTTGAATGCATGTCAGTTAACTGCTAGTAGTCTGTTGTTATTTATGGATTATTGTCATTTTGTTTATTTTCTTTGGTTACATCTTCTAACATCAGACTCGGACTTCTCTTTCAAGAACTGAATTTTAATGTGCGTATTGTTATGCGTTTACTTTTCTACATTGGCTAGAGGTATAGGGGGAGGGTTGAGATCTCATAAACATGTTTAACCCTGCCGCATTTTTTGCGCCTGTCCCAAGTCAGGAGCCTCTAGCCTTTGTTAGTCTTGTATTATTTTTAATTTTAGTTTCTTGTGTACAATTTGGAGTTTAGTATGGCATTCATTATCACTGAACTAGTATATATATTTGTTTAGGGGCCAGCTGAAGGACGCCTCCGGGTGCGGGAATTTCTCGCTGCATTGAAGACCTGTTGGTGACCTTCTGCTGTTGTCTGTTCTATGGTCGGGTTGTTGTCTCTTTGACACATTCCCCATTTCCATTCTCAATTTTATGACATATTTGCATAGATAAATAAATGCATAATAATTATAAGACAGCCAGTAACAAATGGTTGGAATGATTTGATTTTTAAAATCTTTAAACATACAAAAATAAGTATTGTAAGTGTTTTGGTCAATATCTTCAAAAGTCTTAATTTTTGAAGATTTTATTAAAAATGTACAGTATATTTGTATAATTGGTGATTTCCTCATATCTTTTTCTCCGTATACTATATGTAGTACAAAATGTAACACTGAAGTCATTCTGCAATATGTGTGTGCAAACAGTTGTAAACCAGAGTTTGACAGATATGCTTCCTTGTGCCAACAAACAATTTCAACTAAATCCTCCTGTGTATAGAAGATAATATCCTATTCTACATTTTGTATTTTCTATTACAGAATAATGTCTGATAACACCAGAAAAAGTCCACGTAGGAAAAGTAAAAGAAGATCCAGTTTTGCTGCTTCAAGGATAAATATTCTACAGCAAGGCACATCTGGAGAAGGTAAAAACGTAGCAATAATAATAATAACATGAAGTCAAAGTGCTTGGGAGCACTGTGGGTAAAGATTGCTCTCATTTTGCAATGAACTTAAAATAAAACATTGTACATTGTAATGCATTTGAGTTATCTTCCTTTGTGCATAATTGTAGATTGAACCTAAATTTATAACAGATTCATACACCACCCACAACTTATGTATTTTTTTATAAGAATGGTTATACAAATACCTGGCACATCCGGAGGAGTAAAAACGTAGCAATAATGATAATAATAATAAAAGATATTATATTATAATATTTTAGAGACATGATAGAAAGGCTCTTACAGAGTAGGTAAAAATGTAGCAATTATTATGAAATAATGATACAAAAAAAATTATATTCTACAGACATGACAGAAAGGCACACCTGAAGAAGGTAAAAATGTAGCAATCAAGGATAAATATTCCCCAAAAAAGCACATCCGGGGATTCCTTAGGTCTGACAGTCTGTGTGCATATAAAAATTTGTCTGATCTGGTAAAAAATAAATTTTTAAAGTAAACATGAACACGTCTTAAGAGGGGAAAAAAAGAACCTAATAATTGCTGTCCTATGGATCAATATTCTACAGAGTCACACAAAAAAAGGTAACAGGAATTTAGAATTATTTAATACAACTTCTCATTTACTTTTCAGAATTGTATCAAGAAATAGATAATAGCAAACCACCAGACGAAAGACTGATTATGTTAACAAAAGTCTGTTTAGAGGTATTTGCATAGTTTATTACTTTGAATTTGAAATTTAATAAACATTAATATAACAGAACATTCAGTATAACAAATTAAATAACACATATCTGAGAGGGTGATAGAGCAGATTGTTACCCCTCGAACAGACATACTAAACTGTCTATTCTACTTACTAGTACACCTGGTACAATCAAAAACCTGGTAATAAATTGTTCAAATAAGGCCTTGGAAAATAGTGGAATTAATTACTTTTGGAGTTTCAAAAATTTGTTGGAAGTACTTGATAAATTGCATGCTTATATTGGTGATTTGGAATCTGTTCAAAGTTTTGATTTTTCTACCCTATATACCACTTTGCCTCATAATCTTATTAAGAAAAAATTCACACACCTAATTAAATGGGCATTAAAAAAGTCAGAATGCAAATATATATGATAAAACTCTGTTAGGTCATTTTTTAGTAACAACAAACAAAAGAACTATGTCAATTGGACCTGCTTTGATACTATAACTGCCCTTGAATTTTTACTGGATAACATTTTTGTTCGCTTTGGAGATTCCGTATATCGTCAAGTTATCGGAATTCCAATGAGGTCTTACTGTGCACCACTTATTGCGGACCTGTTTCTGTATTGTTATGAGTTACAATTTATGACTAAAACCAGCAAAGACCCATTGAAACAACATCTGATACAAAAATTTAATAACACGTTTAGATATTTGGATGATATATTGGCTCTCAATAATGATGACATCAGTATGTACACTTAAGAGATTTATCCTGCTGGACTGACTTTAAATAAAGCTAATACTAACAAAGAAGACGCCCTTTCCTTGATCTTGATATCTATATTTTTAACAGGAAGCTTAATACAAAAATTTATGATAAAAGAGATGATTTTTCATTTCCTATTGTTAATTATCCATTTTTAGATGGTGACGTTCCCTTGTCACCATCTTATGGTGTTTATATATCTCAACAATTTGATTCACCCGTGTATGTAATGTTCAACTTATTTGATTTTAACGAAAGAAATCTCTGTATTACTGAAAAATTATTACACCAGGGTTTTCAATATCACAAACTAGTCAAAACATTTACTAAATTTTATCATCAGTACAAGGACATCATTCGTAAATATAAATCAACATGCAGACATCTTATACGTTCAGGTATTTCACATCCAATCTTTTATGGTAATATTCTTAACAAAGCACAAAAATGTCGGCATTCACCTCAAAAGCTAACCAAATCTTTAAACAGACTTATTCAGAAGGAATATAGTTACGATACTGTTGTCAGGTCATTAAAGATGGCATATTTTGGTATTAATATTTATTCACTCATAAGGTCTTTGCATTGGAAATAATTTGCATTGGTGGCCTTCGGCTGTTTTCTGCTCTTTTGTTGGGTTGTTGTCTCTTTGACACATTCCCCATTTCCATTCTCAATTTTATTGTCAACCTTGGCTTTGCCTCAGTTGACAATGTTTTGTCGGGGTAACAATCTAATCTATCACCCTCTCAGCTATGTGTTATTTATATAATGTAGACATGAAAGACAACAATACCCAAATTTTTACGGTATGGTTCTCGTTTAATTGGTCAACATGTTTCGCAAGCAAGCATGGCGTCTTCAGGACAAGAATATGCATGAAATAAAACAGTGAAGTGCAACTTTTGCTGTTATTGGGGTTAACCGGATGTAATGTTACAATGGTTGTTATGACAACGTTATCAATAAAAATAGAAAAGTTGCATAGAAAATGAAAGTAAGTCAATAAAGTTATAAACGGTGGTAAACTGCTATTCACACACGTCTGTTTACATTCTTACTGGAGGTTCCTAGTGGTATTGTTATAGAGGTGATGAAAGTGGATGATAAAATGTTCCGTTTAATTTCCCAAATGGACAACACCTCACTGGTCATCCCGTACCAATTCAACTGGCTTCGCTCTAGGAGGTACTGCTTCCAGTTGCGTCTGGAATATATGAGATGTATGATCGTATTGAGAATTATAAAAATGGTAGATCTGTAAATATCTAATTTGTTTGTAAAATGTCTACAGATCATGTTTGGCTTCATACTTATATTGTGTGGTACCTGTGGTTCATTCTGTTTCTGGCTCTGCACCCTGGGGTATTTTCACAGAATTAGATTGGTCATAATATAACAAGAACCCTGTCTTGTGATGTATGAACAAATTAAAAGAAAATACAAAAAGGCAAGAAAAAATTTAATTACATAATGAACAGTTGTCATAATTAGTCATAGTGGATATACATCATGTACATATGAGACCAATACAGTATTGTTTACTTACACTAGTACGCTCAAAAATTAGAATGCACATAAATGCTTCCTTCTGTTCAAATGGGGAACCTGTATTCCAAGACCACCTGTATTAAGAGACCACTTTTGCCTTCTCCTTGAGTGGTCTCTTAATACAGGTTTGACTGTATTTTAATTACAAATAAAATTGAGAATGGAAATGGGAAATGTGTCAAAGAGACAACAACCCGACCAAAGGACAGAAAACAGCCGAAGGCCACCAATGGGTCTTCAACACCGTGAGAAAATCCCTCACCCAGAGCCGGGCTTCAGCTGGCCCCTGAACAAAATGTGTACTAGTTCAGTGAAAATGGACGTCACACTAAACTCCAAAACATATAAATGAACTTAAATTAAAAAACATACAAGACTATCAAAGGCCAGAGGCTCCTGACTTGGGACAGGTGCAAAAATGAAGCAGGATTAAACATGTTTAAAGTTTGATTCAATTTTGAAGTTTTATCACAATGATTAAAACATAGTAAAAATGCAAACAATGGAAATGTTTTAATATATTAAGAAGATCATGCAACCATGATGCTTTTATGCACCACAATGGTAAACCTTGTATTAGGTCTATATATGATAAAGTTTGAAGTTGGCTTATATTGCTTTATAAGTCACAGTATTAAACTGCTGTAGATTTTTTTATAATACAATGCTGTTCAGCAATAATTAGGTCATTATGACCTACATTTTGTTAAGGAGCAACAGGTATGTATACAAGTATATTATTTTTGTTAAATTGCTATTCACCATGTTATATTTCAGTACACACTCAAAAAGATGGAAGATCAAATGACTGGTTGTAGAGATTTCAGTGCTTATAAAAGAGAAGGTACCAGTATAAAATGAATAGTTGACCGGGTATTATCTGCTATATGATTGTTTCTGGCAATGATATACCAGTCATACTCTAGAAAATCCTAATTTTAGAATGTTCTTATATTAAAGTGGTGTTTTCTTAGCTTGGTGGACATTGTAGATGACATTCACCTGCACAAAGTGAATAGCTTCCTATGTGGTATAGGTTTTACTCATTGTTGAAGACAGCATGCTGACCTTTATTGCTAATCTTCTACATCATTTGGTCTCTGGTGGAGAGTTGTCTCATTGGCAATCATACCACATCTTTTTAATTTTATAATGACTATTTTCTATGATGAACTGTATCGTGGGTTCAGAAAATTTCCAAACCTAGCACACTATTGGGTTCTATTTAGACTACCGTTAGCCATTCAATTTTTATGATTTTCATATATTTGTACATCATTGCAGAGTTATTGAACTTTTAAAAAACCGTGATAGATTTTGATGTCTGAAGATAACTCTAGTATGTATGCTTTTACATCCTTATAAAATTGCTACTCAAAATTAGTTTTTTATAAAAACAAGCTACCCTATAAATTTGAGGATTTTCAGGTAAGTCATTATTGTGTAACAAGACTTTATAATCCTTAAGAACTAGGAAACCCTTCATGTGTCTCATAATATCAACTGAACTAGTTACAAATCCTAAAACAATGCAGGGTTTTTTTACAGACAAGCTGCCTATTGATTTTGATGCTTTACAGAATAGTCAATACTTAAATTTGTGCACATTGTTTTATTTTCATTTGGTAACATTTATTAAACCTACATGCTATGCAATTGATAATGGATGGGGTATCATACAACTTGGTCCAACTGTTTGAAGAAGGCCGGTAGTGAGTTATAAGCAGATTATAAAAAATGTGTTTAGAAGGTATCACACATGCATGTCATATCCAAATAAATACAAATATATTTATTTTTACAATGAGAGATTGGTGTATTTCAGTAGATGTTTCTGTAAATATCATTCAGGTTTGTGACAAGAATGTATTTTATTCTGACCAAATAAGATATAACTATTTAAAATGTGAATAATTTTAGTGGAAGAGGCAGTTCTTAGGAAGATTGCAGACATGGAAGTCAAAGGTGTTTTTAAAGAAGCCTCCGAAAAAGAAAGGTAGATAGAATTTAAAGCTTTTCTTGGTTTAAAGATTTGATAATATGTTACACAGTGTTCCAGCTAGGATTTAAAAATAGAGGGGCGCGTTTTTAAAAAAGGGCACTTTAGCGCGTTCTCACTGAAAAAAATCAAATACTTAATATTACCACATAATGACATATTTTTAGCAAGCATGTAGCTAAGTTAAATACTCTATACTATTACATACATTGAAAATTGTGTAGGTTTGGTTGTGAATTTAAATAAGAGTGCCAATGAGACAATTGTCTTTATTTCGATCTTGAGAAATAGATTAATTCAACAAATAAGTTTGTTAATTCAACTTTGAAAGTTTATTATCAATTTAACAAGCATCTCCGTATATTTCATGTTGAGCGTATCTAATAATATCAATAAGTTTGTCAAAACGGATTTCAATAAGAAAATTGATACAAAAATCGGACTTTCGAGAGCTCTGTAATCGGCACAATAATAAATTAATTCAACTTTGAAAGTTATTATCAATTCAACAAGCATCTCCGTATATTTCATGTTGAGCGTATCTAATAATATCAATATTAAAGTTAGTCAAAACGGATTTCAATTTAAGAAAAATTATATAAAAATCGGACTTTCGAGTGCTCCGTAATCGGCGGAATTTACAATAGAAGAACAATTGCGATATCTGATAGAAACCTTTCTTCTTCTCGATTTTTCATAAAAGTAAAGAATTAAATTATTTTTTTACCTTTGATGGTCATTATTCTTGAAAAAAGATGTAATAGACTGGTAAGTCTTTGATATTTTCTTCTTGTCATTTTTGAGTTGGTCAATTTTTCTTTTTTTCGTCGGCATTTTGCGTGTTGACGATTTACAATATACTATTGGAATGATTCTTTTTTAAAGAACGTTATTTTATAAATAACAAATACAATAGAAATGGACATCGTTCACATTTATTTTATAAATTCTATTTTGCATCGTCAGGTGTTAAAAAACAATTCATTTAACTTGGATGTTTGGTACTTCCGGGCAAAGGGATTAGACAGGGTCATAAAATTCACCTGATTAAGTAATTGACTCTAATCAAATAGGTGATTATATACAGGTAACAAGTGTCAACAATTTTGATCTGTTGTCTTTATGAAGTGTGTGTATAAAGAACTCAACAAAATGGCGACGATATGAGGACAAAAGATCGTTTTTTAAAACTTTTTTCAAAAGGGCACAGAGGGGCGCAGGGGCGCTTAAAAAAGGAAGAGGGGCGCAAAATTTCGGGGGCGGGGCGCGGCGCCCCTCCATTTCATGCTAGCAGGAACACTGTTACATATTGTAGGAAACCTAAACAGAAGATGTGATCATCTTTATGAAAGAGTTTTAAAATTAAAGCTCCAGCTCACTCGGGACATAAAACCTATTAGAGATATTCCCCAATACATGAATTGTTATCTATTGTCTGTTGTTATTGTTATATTTAGGCCTAATTACAAATGTGTTGAACTTGGCTAAATGGTGAATTGTATCTCTATTGTGTTCTGGGAATCAACATTATGATATATCTCAATGTATCTCTATTGTGTTCTTGGAATCAACATTATGATATATCTCAATGTATCTATTATGTTCTGGGAATCAACATTATGATATATCTCAATGTATCTCTATTGTGTTCTGGGAATCAACATTATGATATATCTCAATGTATCTCTATTGTGTTCAGGGAATCAATATCATGATATATCTTAATGTATCTATTATGTTCAGGGAATCAATATTATGATATATCTTAATGTATCTATTATGTTCTGGGAATCAACATTATGATATATCTCAATGTATTTATTATGTTCTGGGAATCAACATTATGATATATCTCAATGTATCTCGATTGTGTTCTGGGAATCAACATTATGATATCTTAATCATGTGTTAATGTATCTCTATTGTGTTCTGGGTATCAACATTATGATATCTTAATCATGTGTTAATGTATCTCTTATGTGTTCTGGGTATCAACATTATGATATATCTCAATCATTCACCTCCACTTGAATCTTCTCTTGAAGTTAAATCACATTTTTAAAGAACTTAATTATGCCTTAGAAAATTTTGAGGAACAGATGGGCAAATGTCTTATAATATCATAAATATAGCATTACTACATTTGCAATTTGATTCCACTTTCTTTATTTCTAAGATGAGTTCAAATGACCCCCCCCCCCCCCCTAAATTCCTCTTCTTTGCAATTGTATAGATCTTTTGATTTCAAATCTATATAAGGAACTAATGGACCACAGTCTACACTCTACAGTGGATAATTGTCTAATTGTCAATCATACCACATGTCCTTATTTTCACACACAGTGTAGTTCATATTCTTAATAAACCAAATGTAATTTCAGTGATTTATGTATAGTGCATGACTACTTCAATAAACTATTGTAAGAAATTACTTTGATGATCATGAGCATAATGCCACTATGTTATTGGATTAATTAAATTCAATTGAATGTAGAATAATGTTATCTATTTCAGTATGCTACCAAATCCCATCAACTCAGAACTGGACTCTGCTATAGAAGAAATGAAGGCAAAAATTTCAAGGTGAATTTAAGAAATAGTTGAAGCATTGTAAGGGGTCATTATTTGGGTCAACATTGCTAATAGACCTCAAGTGAGGAACATTATTGTGATTTTTAAACAAATAAATACTTATATCTAAAAGACATGTTATTATTTGAAGAATGGACTGTGTTTCACCATTAAATAAAGATGCAAAACTTTGCTGTTATTAAATGTTGGCTAAAAACTCAATTTCCACAGATTTTCAATGTGTGAAAATCGACTTTGAGAAACCATATCAAAAAGGTGTTTCCTGAATTGCAGAAAATTTAATATCATATGGTACACCAAAATTTCATTACATATGATAAAATGTCTCAGCTTCGAAACAAGCCATCATACATTTCATAAACTTTTAGATATGTACAAAACATGTATATTTTTCAATCTGCATGACATGGATTATGCATATTGACCTATTTAAACGAAAATGAATACTAAGAAAAGGGATGGTAGAGATTCCATTCCTCGTGTCAAAAAGTAATTTGACCATACCCAAGCAACAGGGGGAAAAGATTAAAAACAAGGGATTGGAAAAAAAGTCCCTTAAATAACTGAAAAAATGCAGAGGACATGACTATTAGTTTTTTTCTTGGCCTAAATTGATAATTCTTTTGTAGGCTGCAAGAAGAAACTAACAAATGGGATCAGCTGGTAACAGAAACAGAAAATAAAATATCTGAATGTGATCAGTATGTATTAGATAATATGATGAAGACTAAAAAGTAACGGTTGGATTAACAGGTTTTCTGCAAAATGATACTGTAAATCAGCTGCTAGTCACAATATTTATTTTGAGTGAGCACAGCCTATGCTCTTAAACTGGATGAAATATTTGTATTGTGTCAAATGCATATATTAATTTACAAAGTAACAATAATTCCACATGGTTAACATTTCCAATTAAAAGTACCTAATCCAGCAAGACCTCAGATTCAACAACTACTGTGGATTCATTTATTTTTATTTGGTACTAATTTTCATGAGTGGAGGAAAAATTGTATTTTCGTGGATATTTGATTTTGTGGTTTTGCCAAAGTCTGCATACAAGCCTATAGAACATTTGATCTTAACTGAACATTTAAATTTGTGGTTTACCTGTACCCATGAAATCCGGGAAAATAGATATCACACGAATAATAATGATTCCAAAGTGTATAAATATCTCAATAAAACAATATCAGGTAAGTTCCATAGAAACATACATGGCATCCAGCAGTGTTCTCCCGAGGGTCTTTAAGCATCATGGTAATGTGATGCTATCTGTAAAATGATTTTCTTTTAGATTGTGTTTTCAATGTGGTGCTATTGTTTCTTGAAAGAAGATGATATTTCAAACTCCCTGTTTACCAGAATGCTATTTGTTGGGAAAATAAAATTGAGAATGGAAATGGGGAATGTGTCAAAGAGACAACAACCCAAGGCCACCAATGGGTCTTCAACACAGCGAGAAAATCCCACACCCGGAGGCAGGCTTCAGCTGGACCCTAAACAAAAATGTGTACTAGTTTAGTGAAAATGGACATCACACTATGAACTAAAATTAAAAAAAACATACAAGACTAACAAAGGCCAGAGGCTCCTGACTTAGGACAGGCGCAAAAATGCAGCAGGGTTAAATATGGTTTGTGTGATCTCAACCCTCCCCTTATACCTCTAGCCTATGTAGAATAAACAAACACACAGCAGTACGCACAGTAAAACTAAGTTTAAAAGAAGTCTGAGTCCGATGTCAGAATAGGTAACAAAAGAAACTAAGCAAAATGACAATGATACAAAGATTAACAAAGGACTACTAGCAGTTACTGAAACACTGCATCCAGGGAAGGTATTTTAAAATTGTTGGGGTTTATATTAATGTCAAAATTTTATCAATAAATTAAGCAGGCCTGAAAAGCTATACCACATAAATCAGGGTTTGTTCAATTTCAATTTTCAACAATGTAACAAAATCTTCAAAAAAAGCTGCACTAGAAGCAAAAATTCGTAAGGGTTCCGCGGAACCCAGTGTCTCGCCTACTTTTTCTGTTAATCACAGGCTCAACAAAAATGAGGAAGTAAATCAATAAAAATATTCCTCTTGATACTATCTTTTGATTGTAAGAAGCTTCTGTCCAAGTTTGGTAAAAATCCAGGATAGTTTATGAATCTAATAAATGTTTAAAAACTTTAACTGCAGACTGAACATGCTGAATGGAATGTTAACTGGAAGAAAACAAAATTTCCTTCTAGATACTAGCATTTGATCATAAACAAGCTTCTGTCCAAGTTTGATACAAATCCAAAATAGTATAAGAAAGTTATTAAAATTTTAAAAACTTAAACCACAGAGTGAATGTGTTGTTTCCTGGCAGAAAATCTAAGTCCATTTAAAAGTAAAATACGGAAAAAAGGGATTTATTTTTTTACAAAATTTCCTTCTAGATACTAGCTTTTGATCATAAACAAGCTTCTGTCCAAGTTTGGTACAAAAAGAAAGTTATTAAAATTTTTAAAACTTTAACCACAGAGTGAATGTGTTGTTTCCTGGCAGAAAAACTAAGTCCATTTAAAAGAATAATAAAGAAAAAATAGATTTATTTTTTTACAAAATTTACTTCTGGATACTATCTTATGATCATAAACAAGCTTCTTTCCAAGTCTGGTACAAACTCAGGACAGTTTAAGAAAGTTATTAAAATTTTAAAAACTTTAACCACAGAGTGAATGTAATATTTCCCGGCAGAAAAACTAAGTCCATTTACAAGTAAAATACGGAAAAACAGGAATTTTATTTTTACAAAATTTACTTCTGGATACTATCTTATGATCATAAACAAGCTTCTTTCCAAGTCTGGTACAAACTCAGGACAGTTTAAGAAAGTTATTAAAATTTTAAAAACTTTAACCACAGAGTGAATGTAATATTTCCCGGCAGAAAAACTAAGTCCATTTACAAGTAAAATACGGAAAAACAGGAATTTTATTTTTACAAAATTTACTTCTGGATACTATCTTATGATCATAAACAAGCTTCTTTCCAAGTCTGGTACAAACTCAGGACAGTTTAAGAAAGTTATTAAAATTTTAAAAACTTTAACCACAGAGTGAATGTAATATTTCCCGGCAGAAAAACTAAGTCCATTTACAAGTAAAATACGGAAAAACAGGAATTTTATTTTTACAAAATTTACTTCTGGATACTATCTTATGATCATAAACAAGCTTCTGTCCAAGTTTGGTAGAAATCCAGGATAGTTTAAGAAAGTTATTAAAATTTCAAAAACTTTAACCACAGAGTGAATATTTGTGGAAGCCGCCAACGACGACGCCAATGGAATGTAGGATCGCTATGTCTCGCTTTTTCGACTAAAGTCGAAGGCTCGACAAAAATGATGAAAGCCGAAATTTTATCAGAATGTCAATTGAAAGCTGATGATGTGAGTTCTGTATTCTATTCTTCAGATTGTCCAAACAACCACATTTAACAGAGTTAGACATCTCTGATACACTCAAAGCACAAAGTGGAGGATATCTATGCAATAGATTAGATTATAATAGTTTACTGGCAGATTTAAATCAAAGTTGTCAGAAGACATGTTTACTGGTAGGTAAAAGCTTACTTAGAATTAGATCTCAGTTGTACAAGGTGAGTATTTATAAAACAGTTTACTGGCAGATTTAAATCAAAATTTTCAGAAAACATGTTTACTGAGATAGTCCACTTGAGTTCTATATATCTTTCAAAATAAATGATTTTAAATCCAAATTACATATGTGGTTGCTGAAATTGTATCCCATCTGTTATTTATTGTTGCATGTAATTTAATTCTGTCAATTTCTCCCAGAACTTTTTGTCAATTATTTCAAAAGTTGCCTATTACATCTCCATAGTAAATATGTATTTCAATATCAAGTATTTACAGAGGAAAGTAACACTTACTGATCACAACAGCCGTTCAATAGTGCTAACAGTAACGTTCACTGAAAATGACAGATGTTTGACCAAGATTCACTCCTTTGATATTTTAATTAGGTGGCACAGAATTGTGAATAGAAATCTTGAACAGATCCTGTCAATTCATACATTCCATTATCTATAATTTACCTTGATAATAGATTTTTAACTTTAGACTTAATGGACCTTTCAGGAAAATACTTTATTAATACTTACCATAATCTCAGAAAGTTAGATGTCAGTAAGCTCATATCTGGTGTTCATGTGCAAACATTCAGAAAGATATTGTCAGAGTTTGTATACTTCATAGATAAATATTCACAGCAAAAACTTGATTTGTAACAAGTATTTGGTAAAAAGGAAGTTGAAGAGAAATGAATAGCCGGGTAAAGTATGTTCAAATAAAGCCTGATACAGACATAAGAAAGTCTGGACAGACAGGGCAAATCAGTACAAACCCCCTCTGTTGGAGAGAGGTATACAAATTTATTTTTGAAGGTTTATAGAACACAAACAGACTATATCACTAAGTCACAGACTATATCACTAAGTCAGGAATCTGATGTTCAGTAGTTGTCGTTTGTTGATGTGGTTCATAAGTGTTTCTCGTTTCTCGTTTTTTATATAGATTAGACTGTTGGTTTTCCCGTTTGAATGGTTTTACACTAGTAATTTTTTGGGGCCCTTTATAGCTTACTGTTCGGTGTGAGCCAAGGCTCCGTGTTGAAGACCGTAGTGTGACCTATAATGGTTTACTTTTATAAATTTTGACTTGGAAGGAGAGTTGTCTCATTGGCACTCATACCACATCTTCTTATATCTATATATGTATGAGCTTACTGCATTACATCTAATAGTTCAAAAAGAAGATTGGTATTAATTAGAATTTTCCAGAAAGATTAATCATAAACATGTTTTCTGGAGATATTAAGCTTCATTGTGATGTATCAGTATCCTAAAACACAAAAGTCATGTATTCTTGTCTTTCATTTTTGCTTATGTGCTTTGTCTATATGCCATTTTGTTTTTCTCTGTTGACATATTTGTTTGTTTTTATAGTGATTAAGATTATAACACAATGTTGACTGCTGTACCCCTATTTTTGACACTTTTACCTATTTTGTCTGTTTGTTTTGTTCACACATTGTTGTCAATATAATGGAATTTTATGCGACTGTCATACAAATGAGAGGTTTAGCTAGCTATAAAACCAGGTTTAAGAAAATGACTGTACCAAGTCAGGAATATGACAGTTGATTTCCATTCGTTTGATGTGTTTGAGCTCTTGATTTTGTCATTTGATAAAGAACTTTCCCATTTGAATTTTGCTTGTGGAGTTTGGTATTTTTGTTATTTTACTTTTTTCAAACAGATGACAAAGTTTCTACAGATTTTGTCCACAGAGTATCAGTACAATTACTTGGGTTTTTTTTAAATGACATATGGATATGAATTTACTAGTGCTTCAAAATAAAGTTGCTGGAAGGTATTGGTTTATATATTGACAGATGTCTAAAAATTATGCTTACTAGTACAGGAGTTTGAAGATCAACTCCAATTTTTAGAATAGAGACAAATTTTCTGGTGAATATAGGATCACTTGATAGGTTGAAGTCAAATTTATCTGAAAACTTTACTGAAGTAAGTAGACACACATGAATTATACCTTTTTTAATTATAGGTACATGAACATACAAGAGTTGTCAATAGATTAGACACAGCATATAAACATATATCGTCTAACATTAACAAACAAGTACTACATATGAGTAAGTATTGTAAATTCTCATGTTGGGTGTTGTCCATTTCTTTAATGACACTGTTTCATTATCCTCCCACCAAACAAAGTTAGTAGAAACACCATTTTGTCTATATGTTTGTTGATTTATTTGCTTTAGTTGAGTATTGCCAAAAGGTGCAGATCTAAACAACTATAAATATTAGAGGAATGATCTGTTGTCTGTTGATGCATCCATACTACACTTAATTTTGGTACCTTGACCTTCATTTTACACAATAATGACTTTTGGTTACATTAAAGTTCTAGTCTTTCCCTCATAAAACTTTACTCAGTACTTGCAGTACAAATGTTGACCTAGAAACACCAAATCTTATATCGTGATTGGTTGATTTCTGAGTCTGAGTATGATAACCTACTCGAAATTTTATGACGCAAGCCCAGATCTTAGAAACTACAATTTACAAATCAGAGAAAAGATCTTTTATCACTTGATGCAGCTGGTCTGTGACACAGGTCCACACTATAATTAGGTCACCTTGACCTTCATTTAATAATTTTAATGACTAAAAGATATAGATAAAGTGATTAGCTATTGTTTAAATTGGCTCTATCTTTTTAGGTTGTTTTGTTTTATTTTGTTGAGATATAATCACATCTACTTTTCATAGATTCAAGGTGAACAAAAAGATCTCAGTAGTACTTTTTTTCAAGATTTTTTTTTGGGGGGGGGGACAAATTTTTGGGGGATTTTTTTTTCATAAATTTTTGGGTTTTTTTTTTCCAAAAATTTTCCATTTTTACATTGATTATTTCTGATTTATATATAAAAGCAACAAATACTGATATGGCAGGAGAGACACACCAAACGGGGTGTGTAAATTTATATATATTACAGATTAACTAAGTATTGTGCAACAGGACAGTATTGCTACATGTATTGCGCTATAGCAAAGAATTGCGCAAATTACAGTATTGCGCATAGCAAGAAATCTTCAATTGAAAATAAGTACAAATATTTTGTATTTACATTGTATCATAGATCAAATTTATTTGTTCAGTGTATGTTCACTGGTTTTAATATGTCTTCTGATTGAGTTAAGCCATTTCAATTGATATTTTATAGTGTGTCTTTCTATATTGTGATGTTACACTATTGTTTCAGATAAGGGTGAAGGTTTGGTACCATTAAAACGTTTAAACCCGCTGCAATTGTTTGCACCTGTCCTAAGTCAGAAATCTGATGTTCAGTAGTTGTCGTTTGTTGATGTGGTTCATAAGTGTTTCTCGTTTTTTATATAGATTAGACCGTTGGTTTTCCCGTTTGAATGGTTTTACACTAGTAATTTTTGGGGCCCTTTATAGCTTGCTGTTCAGTGTGAGCCAAGACTCCGTGTTGAAGACTGTACTTTGACCTATTATGGTTCACTTTTATAAATTTTGACTTGGATGGAGAGTTGTCTCATTGGCACTCATACCACATCTTCTTATATCTATTTTAACCAATTTCAATTGGATTAATTTAAAGTCTTAAATTTTTGGGGGTTCTAACCTTGTATTACTATTTTGGATATTGGGCCCCATTTTTAAATTGGTCTACATTGAGGTCCAAAGGGTCCAAAATTAAACTTTGTTTGATTTCATCAAAAACTGAATTATTGCGGCTCTATGATATATGCTGAATCTTATTGTGCATTTAGATTTTTTGATTTGGGGCCCTGTTTTCAAATTAGTCCATATTAAGGTTTGAAGGGTCCAAAATTGGTCCAAAATTAAACTTTATTTGATTTCAACTAAAATTAAATTTTTGATGTTTTTTTATATGCTGAATCTAACCATGTTGTTAGATTTTGGATATCAGACCATACTAGGTAAATTAAATGTCCCATTTCAAATTTTTAAGATCTTGGACCACATTTATTTTGTGTCAGAAACCTATATCATGTCAAAATTTTGATCACAATCCAAATTCAGACAGTATCAAGCTTGAATATTGTGTCCAAACTTGCCCCAACTGTTCAGGGTTTGACCTCTGAGGTCGTATCAGGCTGCGCTCGGCGAAGCATTTTATTTTCAAAGTATTATTGACTTTTTTCTTTCACTCATCTTGAATTTACCATAGCAGTGATATTGTTTGCCTCAAATTACAGCCGAAATTCGGCTGTAATCCCCTAGAGAAAATTCCCAATTACTAAAAAAAATGGCTTAAAGTTCCTCCCAAAAAGTTTTACATTTTCCCCAAACAGTGATGGCATTGGTAGTAATGTTTGTAAATATCGTATTCATGTTATTATTTTGATATTAGAAAGCACTCTTGAGATCCGGTTTTTGATCAGAATCATCATGGTGTTTGTAACACATGTGGTTTTCAATGCATTAAGTACCATCATTGCTTCTGTTTCTTTCCCCTCTCCAAAGTACCTTTCAGGTTGAAAATGTCTGACAACCAAAATATACATGAAAACAACAGTGCAAAAAAGACAGCAAAGGTCAGCAAAAAATCGGAGATGTGTTTAGAATGAAATATACAAATTTCCCAATTTCCATAAAAAATATGCATTTTTCCCAATAAAAAACGGTAGAGGTAGTTTTGAAAAAAGACAACAATATCACTGCATAGGAAGAATTCTAAAAGTTTTTCGTGAGATATTCATGCAGCATATCAGTAAATTGGAGTTGATTTTCATCACTATAGTAAAGTATTTCCAATTGGAATAAAACATAAAAATTGTAAATTAGCAATTATTTTATGGTTTACCATTTACACTTTGTTTAGTCAGTTGTAATGAGTCTTGTTAAGTCAAGACTAAAATCTCCACTGAAATGAGCTTTTATTTATGAACAATATTTTAAGAAAAAAAAAGAACTATTTGACCCACAGCTGGTTATATATTTCATGCTGAATGTATTTTAAAGTACTATTCATGATTTCTAATACTGTGGATTCATTATTTTTCGTGGGATACCAATTTTCGTGGATTTCGTGGATACAGAGGAACCACGAATTCAAAGTTTCAACGAATTTCAAATTTTCTATAAGCTTGTATGAAGATTTTAGCAAAACCACGAAATCAAATATCCACGAAAATGCAAGTTTTCCTCAATCCATGAAAATTGATACCCACGAAAATAAATGAATCCACAGTAACCTTCTTGAACTTAAACATATAACATTTTTTATGTAGTTCTTCTTCCATGTAAATCTACTCATTTATAACTTTTTTTTCTTACAGAAGAATCACAACAGCCATTAGAAACACCAAGACGAGTTATGCAGTCACTTTTATCCTTTCCAACACCAAAATGACCTGGTTTTTCGAAAAGGCATTTTGCCGCACTTTGTATATTTGAATTTAATATAAAGACAGAAATGTACAGTGTACATGTGCATTATTTTAATATTGCTCAAAGTTTGAATGTCATATATATACATGTATTTGTGTTCAACACTTTACAGGATTATTGGAACACAGTGTTCATGTTGATATTTTATTGAAAAAATAAAAGAATATTGCACAATAATAAGAAATTATTTCAATGAATATCTGTTGTACATTCTGTTTGATCAGCTGTAACATACCAATCTGTCAGTTTGATTTAACTCTTTGTCCTCTGTAAGTCAGCAATACAAATAGACCTACAATAACAAGAATATACATAAGTAATGACCAAGATTAAACAGATTCTCCTTAGAGTTAATTACACATTATTTAACAAGGTGATTTGTCCTTGCTTTAACTTGACTAGTCCTAGCTGTTAGTGCTTTGAAGAAACATACTATATTTTTTTTTGGAGGGGGGATTATGATCAGGAATTGAATGGATATCACCACCAACCTAAATCTATATGTTGTATTTATCTTAAATATAAACATTTTATTTGTCATTTCCATCAATATATCAATATGTTACTAATAACTTAGTTTAAACATATTTATTCAATATTCACCATCATTACAAATATATCATCATACAAAAATACACTATAATAATAGGATTCAGAAACAAGCTGTACATAGCTCATATTAATCCATTTCCTTGAAATACCAACTCCAATTAACAATTTCATAAACATAACATGCAATATTACAATGATATGGAACAAGAATAAACAAGTAATTACATAACAAAGAAAGAAGGGGGAAAAATTTATTATCTGAAAATAAAAAAAATGCTACAAAAGAAGAAAAAAAATTTTTTTTAAATTTTTAAATTAAAAAAAAATAAAATACACTTAAATACTACAAACATGTCCAGATGAAATGCAACTTTGTCAAAACAGTTTAACTTGTAAATCTCTTGCACTTTAGTAAGAATGTTTGTACTGTTTCAAAAATATCCTTGTTCTGGCCTTAAGTTAGAGCTTGTGAGCCAAATAAAAGTAGGTTTGTTTTCAGTATGACTGGATAATTAATTGCGAAAATAATGTCATTACACAATGTGTCATATTTTTTATAATGCAATAGAAAATAAGCTGTAGATTCAATAAGACCACACAAGCAATTTGAGGAATCTACTAGATTTCGTCTGACCAAATGTTCATTTAAAGAACTACTATTCATCTTTAACCTGGCATGTAATATTTGACCCATTCTTGTACCAGTGTAGTAAAAATCTGGACATTTACAGGGCTGCCAAGTCTCACGCATTTAGCGTGAGACTCACGCATTTTCATGCTTATTTGGCGGCATGTTCCTTTGATCTATTGTTTTTTCTCTTTGATCTTTACGATTTAGGCCAAATCTCACGCATTTGCATTACTAAAAGTTGGCAGAACTGCATTTATTATATGTTTTTTTTATACGACTTTTGAAAATACTTAAAGACGTAGAATTTCTCTTTTCTTCTGGTAACTTATTCCACAATTTAATAGACTGATACCTTAGTAAGATACTGAAGACTCATTACTGTAAATTTAGATTTATTGCAATTTTGTCATGACAGACATGACATTATTGTTGTGATTATAGAAAAGTTGCATGCAAATGTATGTGTCAGATTTCAGAATGTGAGTTTTAATTATTGTGATACTCATCCAGTCGCATTATTTGCAATAATAAAAACCTCATATTATTTCTGAGTATACAGTATTATACGTATGATACCAAATTTCATAGATTTCGAGTGGAAAGGTTAACCACAAATTTAAAGGTTTAACAAAGTACAAACTTTCTTAGGTATAAAAATAAGATGGGGTATGATTGCCAATGAGACAACTCTCCACAAGAGATCAAATGACATAGAATTTAACAACTATAGGTCACTGTACAGCCTTCAACAATGAGCAAAGCCCATACCGCATAGTCAGCTATAAAAGGCCCCGAAAAGACAAATGTAAAAAAAATTCAAACAAGAAAACTAATGACCTAATTTATGTACAAAATAATGAAAGAAAAACAAATATTTTACACAGCAACAAACAAAACCACTGAATTACAGGCTCCTGTATGTATACATTCATTTCTATACTAAAGTTACACTTAAATCTTGATTCAAAAAATACATGTCTTTATGATGGTTATATAATTCATTTATAAAGAATAAAAAGGCCTGTATGCTAATATAGATAAAAATAGTTATGAAATAATCTAGAACTGTGCCAATGACTTCCAAATTTTAAAAATAAATTTAAAATTTACTGAACAATGCATTTTGTTTGGGCTTTAAAAAATGCACAAAAAAAACAACAAAATGTTTTAACAATATATGATTAGATTTCAAATAGAACAAAATATATTTACCTATAATAGCTAATCCCATGACACCCACCAGCAGTGGAATACCTAATGCATATTTGTGGTCTGGAAATACTTTGTGGAAGATTTGATCTTTGTCAACAAAGGGCTGAAAATTAAGTATTGATGAATAGACAAATTTCTATTCTAATAAGAGTTTTCAATAGTCACACAAAAATTAGTTTACTTTTATGCTCAATCCACTAATGTAGAGATCACATTGTGTTTTAGAATATTTACAAAAGTAGTCCATAGTGCCTCATTCACAGTCTACTAATTTAATGTTCAATTTTCTTGGTCTTTTTAAAAAATATATTTGATAGTTACTGGTATTTGTTATGTTCTATAAGCATGCATGCCACATTCTCCATGTTTTAAATCAAATAATTTTTAAGTCCAGTTACACAAAAAATGTTCAAACTTCTTGTTTTGCTCATGACTGTACATTAGACTATCAGTTATAACACAATGGGATACATAGTTTGATCACCAAACTCTTCAAAGTTTTCTTGTGAAGGCTTTTTATTTTGCAAAATGTTTATTCACTAAAAACTAGACCAAGTTTTATCCATCTTACTTTGCTTTCAAATTTTAAACTGCAAAATATTTCTCTAAATATCAAAGGTGTGAATATCCACAGGATTTTCATTTTCATCAATATGTTGGAAGCCTTAGATTTTCAGAAATTTTTCCATACATGTATATCTTACCAAAACAATAACCCAAACTGTGTAATAGATGTACAGTATAGAGGTAACTGTAAGTAGTGTCCAACCTGCCACTAATTCAAATGTTCTTGTCATCTTTCATTTTGATATACAATCTGAAAAAAAAGTTGTTTTAATGTAGTTTGGGTCATTTTACAGTGTATTTCAATTTTTAAAAATTGGCACATGAACATTGAAAAAGTTCAGAGTTCTGTAATGCTTCACATTGATGTACTGAATGTTCCAATAAAATTTACCAGTTCGTGAGAGAGAAAAAATGTATTGTTGCATTCATTGCATAAAATCTGAACATTTCTTGTATTGGTCATGGTAAATTTTAAACAAAAGTTACATAGTTTGTTTTATTGCCCAACAAATCCTTTTTAAATCTATCAAAGTAAGCAATGAATGCAACAATACATTTTTTTTTCTCTCACAAACTGGTAAATATTCAGGGTTAAATTTAATTTGGCATGATTGTTGAGTCAATAAGGCTGTGCCAACTTAATCTTTGAGGCTTCTCATTTTCAATATCATAACTTTGAAATATCTGGTCAGTTGGACATGAAATTGAAGAGACTTGTACTCAGCAAGGTGAGTTGGATCAAGTCCTGAACACACAAAATTTCATTTACCAGTATAAGTTAAATATTATTTTAAAAAGGAGATGTGTGGATTCCGGTGGTATATTGCAGTGTTAGAATTGATGATATTATTAGTCGCATAAGAGACATGTATTATATGTCTGGTTACATAGTGTGCTAGTGACCTAATAGTCTATAATCAAACGCAACTGCCGAACTGGCTGATAAATGCAGACCTAATATTATATGTTTTTGCATTTAAGAATTTGAAAAAGTGTAAGAGCTGTACTCTTTCAAACCTTAAAAATAATACAGGCAAAATGAATCAGCCTGAGGAGTTTTCACTCGTACTAGATGTTGACCTTAGCGGGACCTTTGTTTACTAATAGACATATAATGGATGATGCATGCGTTGCAGTATATACTTATTTTATCCATGCTTTTATGTGTCCGTCTTACTGTACCTGGACAGGTTAATTTTGATGTATCTTAAATACATTTTTAAGAATACCTTCAAAATCTAGTTTCAACAATATCAATATTTACATCTTTTCAGGAAGTCAAATTCATAGTATAAAATATAAAGTAAAAGTAGGTAAATATCCGGAAATTAATAACTTTTTGTGGGTTTTTGTTTCACGTCCACTGAGATCACAATCTTTCTGTCATATTTAGGAACGACCGTGTATATTTTACATGTTTGGTCATGCCATCAACTGCTACCGTATTCTCCAGAAAATATAAATTGACACTATGATTTTATCAACATATTACGTAGATACAAGTGTCTTGTCTTCACATAAGGCACAAAATCTTGTCTTAGGGAGGGATAAATCGTTCTTTGTAAAAAAAAACCCACTCTGATTCAAATAAAAAATTCTCAGAAACTGACATTATCAAGATGCTTGATTGACAACATATGTGTTACGTTTTGGAGGACGTGTTTTTTCAACAAACAATCGGCATTCCCATGGGAACCAACTGTGCTCCTCTTCTTATCGACATTGCCGCTTTATTCATATGAGGCTGACTTCATACAGGAACTTCTTAGGAATAAAAGAAATAAAATTAGCAGTATCCTTTAACTTCATATTCCGCTATATAGATGATGTTCTCTCACTAGATAATTCAAAATTTGGTGACTATGTTGAACACATTTATCCTATCGAACTTGGAATAAAGGATACAACAGATACAGTTAAGTCTGCCTCATATGGAGAGTTGTCTCATTGGCACTCATACCACATCTTCTTATATCTACTCATATCTTGACTTACATCTAGAAATTAACAATGATGATCGGTTGAAAACAAAACTTTACGACAAAAGAGATGATTTCAATTTCTCAATTGTGAACTTTCCATTTCTATGTAGCAACATTCCAGCAGTGCCTGCATATATATCTCCCAGTTGATATGATATTCCAGGGCTTGTATTTCCTATTATGATTTCATTGATTGAGAATTGCTGCTCACAAGGAAACTGTTAAACCAAGAGTTCCAAATGGTGAAGTTGAATTCGTCTCTTGGTAAATTTTACGGACGCCTTCACGACGAATCGGTTA